ATAGATGCAGCATACATTATGGCATTTGCCCTGCAGTGTAAGGACTTTGTCTAACAGAGCTACAAGAAGACTTTTATGTGCTCTTTAGGATGCATATCAAATGCAAAGGCCTTGGCCTAGAACATTCTCAACATCTCTGAGAATTCTTGTGTTTATTAACATTCTCAGGTCTCTTTCTCATGGCATATCGAAAGGCTTTTCTTCATTTGGCCCAGCTGAGTCTTTCACCTTGAAGACTTTCCTGCTTTCCTGCCTGAAAAAAAAAATTATTCAACCAGGAATAGTATCTCAGTTCAGATGCCATGAAACCTCTCTTGCATCATCAACTCTCATGCTCTAAAATATTTTTGTATCTCCAGCGGGCTCTTACCTCTGTTTACCAAGGTCAGTCTGTATGAGTCTCTCTGACATGGATTAATTGGAGCTAGTTGAGTGTGTAGACCCTCTTCTTTTTCATCTTTGTTATCTGCTCCATTCACCATTCCCACATCTGGAGTTATGAGACTAGAATGGATAGGGCATATGGTGAATGCCTAAAACTTGTTTTGATTTGAAGTGGCACTTCAGTTTTGACAAGTAGAATATATTTACTGGACAGATACATAAGAAAATGGTATGTTTCTTAATTTTCTAAGTTCTGTATTATGAAGTCTGGGTTATTCTAAGTTTTGTGTTATATCTTGGCAAATTTTCGGAGATTCAGGTATTTTTGAAATCAGATTAGTATTCCTTTCCTCAAGGTCTATAATGATCTTCTAAATGTTTGACTATGCATTCATGTCATTGGCCTCCATGTTATAGGGGACAAGAATTCCCAACAGCTTCAATTGTACTTCATTACTTAGGTATCAATATTTGCCTCTGTTGGGAATGGTTTCCCTGAAGAAGGTATACTTTGGGAAATATTAAGAAAGTTGACTTGAAAATGGAAAGTTGAGGAATATGGTAGATTAATTTTTTACTCAAAAAATATTTGCTGCTGTCCCTTGGGAGGGGACCAAACTGTTCTCCAATGACATAAGGATTGACAGTAAGACTTGCTTTAGACAAGGAAATGTGAAGGCAATTGAGTGTAGCACTTCTACCACAATACCCAGCAGTGCTTCAGATATAGCATAAGTGGATATGTAGCACAAGAAAAAAAAATCCTTGTTGTCAGCTACAGAGATCTGGGGGCGGGGGGATGGGGCTTTTGTTATTGCAACATAAGCCAACCTTTCCTGATGAATACAGAAACTATTGTAAGTATAGTGGATATAGTGAGACATATCTGAAACAAGAGAAGCAAATGATAAGTGATAAGTAAAGCATGAGATTGTCATGAAATTGCAAACTATGATCCAACATTGAAGTTACTTCAGTAAAGATATTGAAGTTGCTGTGGGATTTCAAACTAAGATTCAATAAAGATATTGAATGTTTTGAGTATTATACTTGCTAGAAAGTCATATAACTAAACCAGATACTCCTATTTTCACGCAAACAGATGTATTTGTTGATAACCTATGATAGTTTAGACATTTACCTAGGTATCACAGTATACGAAAAATGCATCACTTCACAAACTCTGCCTTGGAGACTGTAGAGGACTGTAGAATGTACTAAAGAAGATCCTGCCTTGTTAAGTCGTTATAATTTTAATGAAAAAGAAAATGACTCAAGAAGGTAATGACTTCTATTTGGAGGAAAGAAGAAAGGATTAATGGAAGATGTGGCATTTGACCAAGGTTTTGGAGTGTGGATAAGGAAAGACATTTCTTAAGGAGGGAAAAGTATGCGTGAATCAGCAGGCGCAGAAAGTATGGACAATTATTTTGAGGCAGTGAGGACACTCTTTGGGCTAAAAAATGGTCTACTTAATGAAGAGACATAGTAGGAAATAAAACTGAAGTTAATTTGGGAAAACATTTTGGAGAAACTAAAATTCCCAGATGCATATTTGGACCTTTATAGAAAGCAGTGAGCCATAGAAGATTTTGAGTATGGGTTGACAGTGAGTGTCCATGCTGTGCTTCAGGAATGTGTGGATGGATCATAGGGCCAGGGATCTGGAGATGGCAAAGCCGACAATGAGGCTCTGACCTGGCTCAATGGCACATCATACCAATGATCCACATATACATAAAATGTAATATAAAACAATAATAGAATCCATCAAACCTATGTCAAGGAAATTTTATTCCATTGATGGTGTTGGGAGGATTGGTTAGCTGTTTGGGGAATAAAAATCAATGTACATGTACACTTCATATTGAACACTGAAACAATTACCAACCTTAAAAGTAGGTTTGTGGTGGGTGCCTGGGTGGCTCAGTTGGTTAAGCGACTGCCTTCGGCTCAGGTCATGATCCTGGAGTCCCGGGATCGAGTCCCACATCAGGCTCCCTGCTCAGCGGGGGGTCTGTTTCTCCCTCTGACCCTCTTCCTTCTCATGCTCTCTGTCATTCATTCTCTCTCTCTAAAATAAATAAATAAAATCTTTAAAAAAAAAAAGTAGGTTTGTGGTTAAACTTCTATTGTGAACTTACCTAAGCCTAAAAACAAGTTTTAAAAATAACAAGGAAAAAAGAATGGATAAATTCTATATACAAAAAATTTAAGTATTTATATATCCCCCACTCAAATCCATTACAAGTTTTAAAACAAACAACTGTGAAAATGCTCGCAGACAATACAAACAAGGATTAGTATCACAAGAACTTAAATGAATAGGTGAAAACAATAAGGGGAACAAAAAATGAGAAAAATGAATAAATAGTATAATCAGATCATTTATGAGCTTAAATACAGAGAAAAAAACAGATATTTAAGAAGTATGCAGTTAAAGAAATTGATTGGAAAGGAAAATTTTTCCCAAAGAAATTAGTGAAAGTTATTTTTAAGAAATATTATGGAACATTGTCATGTTTACAAGGTAAGACAGACAATTCTATAAAGTGCTCATAGTGATGTGTATACTGGCATGATTCTTAGGCAAAGCAATTTGGCAATAAGTATCAGAAGCCTAAACATTGACCCAGCAATTCCTCTTTTAGCATATTCATCCTAAGGAAATAAGTCCAAATACAGAAAAAGGACTCTACTCAAGGATATTCTTAAGAATATTTATAGTTTTGTAAAAATGGAAATAACCTAAATTTGTAGCATTCAGGAAAATGTCTGTAAACTAGAGTACATATGTATATATTTGAAGGAAAATTAGGAAGAATTTTAAATTGTATTTACAAATAATTTGAATAAGTATGAAAATGTTTATGCTCTGATGACAGTATGCTATATGCATTTGATCAGAGCTATGTAAAAGAAATTCTACATACATGCAAAAACGACTGGAAGAAACTTCACAGATTGTCAGCCTTTAGGTGCTAAGTCTCTCAGGTGTCTTCTTTTCTCCTTTCTATAATTCTGACTGAAAATAGTTGATACCAAATAGAACCCTGGAGATAAAAGTCTTTATCTTCAATATAGAACTAGTAGTCTTGGGCGCCTGGGTGGCTCAGTTGGTTGGGCGACTGCCTTCGGCTCAGGTCATGTTCCCGGAGTCCCGGGATCGAGTCCCACATCGGGCTCCCTGCTCAGTAAGGGAGCCTGCTTCTCCCTCTGACCCTCCCCCCTCTCATGTACTCTCTCTCTCTCATTCTCTCTGTCTCAAATAAATAAATAAATAAAATCTTTAAAAAAAAAAAAAAAAAAGAACTAGTAGTCTTATGAGTAAATCAGGCGGCTAAAGAAAAGAATGTAGGGACAAACACAGAAGACATGGAATAAAGTCTGGAAAATGCATATATTTGGTTGCAGGAAGAGAGTAGTAGCTTGTCAGTCTTGGAGTAGAAGGAAGTCAAGAGAAGCAAGGTACAGCAATCTCAGGAGGGGAGCACCGTCCATCAGTGACGTTGGGAGGGAAAGAGGCAAGGAAGTTGGTGATTAGAGAAGGTCATTGAGTTTTCACTGGTTGTCCTTCCAGCAGCTTCACTAGAATCTAGATCAGGAGCTGGGAGGTTTGGGACTGATACAGTGGACAGTTGAAGTGGACAGGAGGAAATGGAGCCTACCCTTGCTTTGCTCTAAGAAAAGCAAAATAAAACAGAGAAGGCAAATATAAAACAAAATGTGACATAATTATTTTTTTTTAAAGATTTTATTTATTTTTATTTGAGAGAGAGAGAATGAGAGATAGCACGAGACGGAAGAGGGTCGGAGGGAGAAACAGACTCCCTGCTGAGCAGGGAGCCCGATGCGGGACTCGATCCCGGGACTCCAGGATCATGACCTGAGCCGAAGGCAGTCGTTTAACCAACTGAGCCACCCAGGCACCCCAAAATGTGACATAATTAGTGGGTGATTTTCTTACCCTGTGATGGTGGGGTCCCAAAGTGTACTAAGTGAGATGCACACATCAGATTAGCACTGGGATTCACTTACAAGAAAGCGAACAGGTGCTTCTCTGAGGCTCTCCTTAATGACTTGTCTGTGGTCAGAGTAGATCATTGCAGCGTACACTGCCCCCTGCGTCTGTGCCTCTCCAGCTCTCAGGGTAGCCCAGAGGTGTCCTTAGATGAAGATCAGCAATTCACATATCTGTGTACAGTGTTGCTCTAGATGGGCAGAAGGGACAACTGGTAAAAGCCATTTTGCCCCATAAAACCTTGAGCCAAATCTCCCCTATTTACAATGGAGAAGGGAACAGTCCTTAATTAAACAATGAACAAGATACTTGGCATTATTTGTATTCTAAATTAGTTTCCCAAAGTTTTCCCAGGGATGGTCCTTAGCTGAGCATTTGGCTTTAGAAGAGTATCCTCAATATTCTCTTATAGACTGAAATGGACTCCCCTCCCAATTCTTCTATAAATACCCTTAGGCAGACAGAAGCAAATTGCAGTGGCCACCTCTCAGTTCATGGGGTTTTCAAATGCATGCTGTTGAACCATGGAGGTCAAAGCAAACTTTTTTGTCTGCCATGTCTTTTCTCCAGTGTAATCTTTGTCTGTTTACCATAGGTGCCTATCCTCGGCTCTCACTGAGCTTTCGGTTGAAGAGAAACATTGGATACTTCATTCTCCAGACTTACATGCCCTCTATACTAATTACGATTCTCTCATGGGTGTCCTTCTGGATCAATTATGATGCATCTGCGGCTAGAGTTGCCCTTGGTATGTGTTATTTTTAAATGATATCTAAAATGTAAAGTAACCGTATCATTAAAGTATTAAGGAAGTTCAGAGGCTATAGTTCAACTACAATTTTTTGACATCATGACACCAGTCTTGCCCATACAGTCACTTTTTATCTTGAAACAATAATTTCATGCATGATTCCCTTGATGTGTTAATTTAATTATAAGGCTCAAATGTGAATTTTCATGCCAATCAAAGGGAAAATATGCTTGCCGAATATTTGCATAATAAAACTATTTTTGACACTAATTTTAAAGCAAGGACTAACATCTCCTGTTCAAAATTGTTCTGTGGCCCAGAAAGAAGACTTGATTAATTGGGTATTCATCTTCTTTAAGTCAGAAAAATTGTCAAATATTATAGCATGTAATTGGAGTTACACAATTTAATGAGCATTTAAATATGTGATTAGATTCTGAGTGATTCTTAAGAACGCTAGTGATTTGTACTGGCCACTGGTCATTTGGCAACTGGATTATTAGCTAATGTACAGTATATTTTATAGGTTCCAATAATATTTCTAATATTTTTAAATTATTAAAGGAAGGTTTATATTTTCAAAAAAACATTATTCTCTATTCAGCTAATTATTATGAAGCTGCATGAATGAAATAATCATTTAAATACATTTTAGATAAGTATAGAGCTGAAGAGCAATTATCTAGTGCATCCCTTCTCTGGGAGGGTTGAATTCGATTCCTGAAAGCAAAATTATCAATAATACTTTGGAAAATAATTATCAATACATTTGCTGGTAAATTAGCCTAGAGAGAACCATAAGAATTCAGGGTTCCAGTTATCCCTCTTTCTTCCCTTTTTTTTTTTTGTTTTTCATCTTTTTCCAGGACTTCAAGTTGATTGACACTGTTTTCCCTAGGAAAATGTGTGTACATGTATGTATGCGGATGTCTGGTTTAGACTCACAGATAGGTGACTGGCAGAGTTACATTCAAGATTAGATTAACACATAGGAAATCAGGTAACTATTCCTAAAAGTGTTAGCTGAATAAAAAGCTAGTTTGAAAAGAAGAAAGTATCAAAAAACTAAAAGCACTATGTTATGTATTTCTAATGGGTCTAGTAAGAAAAGCATCCCTCAAAAAGATCTCCAGGATTTTTCTATGGCCTGCAGAGGTTACCCTGTTGCAATAGTCCTTTCTGTAAGTTTCCCCTTTCTTTTTTTTTTTACTAGATTATTCTCCGTGAAATAATTTTCTCTTCTTCTCACCTGGAAAAGCCAGAACTAAAATGTCTTTAGAGGGGCAGATCTAAATTTTGCAGACCTGTTAGCTTATACATTTTCAGAGTCTCTCTTTAAGAAAGAGAATATAAAATAGACAAATATAAAATTTCTAAGACCCCACTCCAAGTCTGAATGAGGACTATGCAAGTAGAGCTCTAAAGCTAAAGCTTCTTGAGTTTCACATTGAATCGGCCTTGGAGAGTTTGTCATTATTGAGATAAGTAGAGAAATATAAGTACCAAAGAACTGTAATTATCTAGGATCAATAGGAGTGAGGTGTACTGAAAATGTGAATTTCTAAATTTTCTAGATATACACGTTCTATAGCTCCTTCATTGTAAGACACTGTCTTCCACAATATTAAATAATCTATCTGAAGTGAGTTGTAGTGAACCCAACCTCATTACAGTATGTGAAAGTAGATTCCATTTTTTCTAACAGAACAGCATTATGACTATAAATCTAAATCATCCTGTTATGGCTTTGCTAGGACAAAGGAATGGTCTGCCCAGAGTTGCTAAGGCTTCACCATTGGAAGAGTGCCAGGTTCTGACAGATGTCACAACTCTGGGAGGCAGATGTGAGTACAGAGGCAGAAGTGAATGGGCATTTGCCAGTGTCTGGATGAACCTGAGGCCTGGGGGTCTGGAAGGCAGCTGTGACCCTAGGGCCACAGGTCTGAGCAGACAACAGTCCAACAGGTCCAGCTCTCAATGTAGGATACCAGCGTGCTCACTCCCTTTGTCCCACCTTCTGCCTATGTAGAACAGGGTCTCTGAGCCTGGGTCTGCAGGGATCAGGAAATGTCACTAGGTCACCTCCAATAACTAAGGGAAAGTATATTACAGGGTCATGAACACTGAATAACAACACAATAATCATTAACGCTGAAATTTGCTGAATACTCAGGTACCAGTTTCTCTGCAAGGCCACTAATGGGGTTACCTTACCTGTTCTACAGAACATCCATAGCACAATAAGCAGTGTTATTGTTCCCATTTGACAGAGCAGGAAAATTAGGTACAGAGAAGCTACATAACTGGTACAAAGTCATATGACATTTTAAGTGTCAGAAGAAAGATTTTAATCCAGTTAGTCTGACTCCAGGATTCTCTCCCTTAACCACTACAGGTGATTCCTATGGTGTCAGTAGAAAGTACATGCAAGAGTTATCTTGTCTATTACATTGTAAAAAAGGATCAAAAAGAAAAAAATAAGCTAAGCAAGAACTATTATTAATTATTACTATTGAGGGATCCCTCAGAATCTTCAAAATGCTAATGTGCTCTGTGCCTCTTTAAGAAGATATGGCTATGGTTTGGGGGCTTTAATTGAAGAAATTCTCCTCCCGCATCCCTTTTCTACCTGTCTTGTCTTGTAACACACCTTTGAAATGTTTTGAGTGCTGTTATCAGCATCCTGAATGGCTGCACCATGATGAATGCACCTCATTTCTGAAAGAGATCTTAGAGATACAGGTCGGTGCAGAGGAGTGTTCAGCAAAGATGTCCATGGAACACCCTCTCTGGCATAGGGCTCTGTTGGACCTGCAGTGGTTTGGGATTGTCTCTCTATTGAGAAGGGAAACACTGGTCCTTCACAAAGCTGTGTTGCACTGCTGTTCTGTATGCTTCAGGGTTTTAGGTTTCTACTGACCAGGGGCTGACTCCCAGATCTGTTGAATTGTTAGTGTTACAAACCATCAGGTTGCAAAGTTGGGAGGTGTAATTAGATGATCTTCCTCAAAACCCCGAAGTGAATAATAGTGAATAATAGTACCGGTCCTTTTAAAAGGGAAAATTTAAACTAAAATAATTTAGGCCACATTATTTTGATCACAAAGAAGAGAAATAAAATATCTTTTGATTAAATGATGCAAATTATATTTTTATTTCATAGTCATCTGTATAAATGCAGTTTTTCAAATACGATATTAGCATAATCTAAGTGAGAAATATTTTGAGGCTAACAACTAGTAGAAAGACTGAACAGCTCGATCAGTATACAAAGAACATGGAAAGCACCAGTCATCTCCTGTACTGCAGTTGGATGGGTCCCCTTAGAGGGTGGAAGCTCGAAGCAAGGCTGTGGCTGTGGGTGTCTCTCCGGGAAGCCAGAATCTACTGAATAATTTATTTTTCTGTAATGATAATAAATACAATTATTTGTTGTTATTAGTGTTAACAATGCCAGTTACCATTATTAACATATCACCATTGGTTTTCAGGCATCACATTTAGACTTCACAGCAGCTGTAGACAATGGTGTGGACCATCAAGGCTCAGGTCATGCTGCTGGGAAGTGGCAGGGCTAGGTTTTTGGCCTGGGCCATGTGGCTGTACCATCCAGGTCTGTGAATCACTACAGTCCACCATCATCCACAATATCTAGATAGGAAGTAAAATGATACAGAGAATTAGTAAATGTACTGGCCTTTTAAACTAAGAGCTAATGTGAGCCCAAAAGGGGACTCATCCCAAAACCATACTCCTCGAGCCTGAGCTGATGGGCCTGAGCCAGGTTGCTGTCCCATTTTACTCAGGGCTGCTTTTCCAGGCTGAGTGCCTGTGACATATGCTGGCTCTTCCTATCCCTGTGTTCATTCAGCCCATTTCCCAGGACATCCACTGAGGCCTGTGTCATATATGTCCGCTCAAAATAGTCAGCTGGAGAGCCATAAGAGTCAACTGGAGAGAACCACAGCATTCATGCTTTCCTAGTACATTTGGAAGGAAAAAAAAGTTGCGGCAGCAAAATTACAAAATTTTTGAATAATGGTGAGAACACCTAATTTTGGAGAGTTTGCGTGGTGTTTTCACATTTATTTGTAAACTATAATTATCCCATTGCCATTTTCGAATTTTAAAAGTCCCCAGGTGCACCTGAATGTTACTTTAAAGGGGAATCTTAAAATATTCTGACATATTCGATTTCCATATATTCCATAAGCTATCATGGTTTGCAGTTACACACAAAAATAGTTTCTCAGTGCCTCAGTTCCCTCCTCTACTTTTCATAGCAGTTTAGAGGTGGGTGGAAGGAAAGCATGTGCTAGTGACAGAAAGACTGGGCTTTATTCCCTGCCCTCCAGATGGTCCCAAGCACGTAGAGATCTGTGGTCTGGAGGTTCTCTCTGTAGGACACACAGGGTAAGGATGCTTACCTCCAACGATGGGATGGGAACCTGAAGGGCATCAAATTAAGATGCTTAACAAGTACAAACCCTCCATTGGAGAGTTGGGTGGGATCTGGGGGCTCAGAGAAGTGCCTTTGGAGGAATCATTTGTAGAGGTGGTCTGGGCTCTGCCTTGTATCTTGGGAACACTGACCTTTCTGGCCTGCACTGTCCCCTGGCCTCAGTGACATCATATTTTTCAGGTTGCTGTGGCTGAGGGACCATGGTTAAAGCTCTCACTTTCAGAAGTCTCCTTTTTGAGGGAAGGCATGAATAGCAATGAGGAGGAAGTGTTTCTCTCCATTGGGTCCTTGAAGACACAGGGATAATTGCATTCAGTGGCACCAGCTGAATGGATAGAAAAGAGTTCACCCTTTGGAGCTGTCTTTTTTTTTTTTTAAGATTTTATTTATTTATTTGACAGAGAGAGAGCACAAGTAGGGGGAGCAGCAGAGGGATAAGGGAGAGGCAGGCTCTCCGCTGAGCAGGGTGCCAGACGTGGGGCTCCATCCCAGGATCCTGGGATCAGGACCTGAGCAGAAGGCAGATGCTTAACAGACTGAGCCACCCTGGCGCCCCCCTTTGGAGCTGTCTTAAGAGAGAGCAAGTCAGCTGTAGCATTTACTGTCCCACCAAGAAGTGAGCAATCCATATCCTTCCTGCATGTATGACTTCACTCAGTTCAACAAACTCTAGTCATGTCACCGACATGTCCCCTCCTTTCTGTGGCTTCAAATTATCCAATATGGAATCTTTGTATTGAAAACAACAAAAAAAAAGTCCATTGCTATGGTATAATTGCAAAATACGGTCCTTACGTGTTTTTAGAGACTGGACTTAGCTCTGTTAGGGAAACAGAAATCATTCACATACTACTATCTAGAGAATTCAACATTATGATTTAAAAAAAAAAAAAAAAGGATCTGGTCAGTTCCCCCAGAATATGGCAAGATTCATTAGCCCTTGACTTCACCACGCATGTTCTGAGAAGCTTGTATAGCCTCTTAGTTGAGGAGGGAAAGGACTCTGAAATCATCTGTCCTCAGGAGCTTCCCTGAAGTACTCCTCTTCTTTTTTTTTTTTTTTTTTTAAGTACTCCTTTCTTTTTAAGCTCAGGACTGGACCAAGTCTGCTATCAGTTTTAAAAATCATTGCCTTGGGGTGCCTGGGTGGCTCAGTCATTAAGCATCTGCCTTCAGCTCAGGTTATGATCCCAGGGTCCTGGGATCGAGCTCCCTGCCCCATGGGAAGCCTGCTTCTCCCTCTCCCACTCCCCCTGCTTGTGTTCCCTCTCTCGCAGTGTCTCTCTCTGTCAAATAAATAAATGAATAAAATCCTTAAAAAAATAAAAAGAAAAATCATTGCCTCATTCCCCTTTTTCATAAAGCATTGTGGTAAGAATTGTTTTCTTTTGACGAGCAGGCTCACTGAGCCCTCACTAATGGCCATAGGTGACCCTCTTCTTTGAGTCTTCATAGATTCATTCTTCTTGGAAGCTTCCATCCAGACACACAGTGTTTTATGTTAATTTCTGGGGTTATTTTCATTTCTTCCAACTTTCCTAAAAAGCACATTCTCCTTTGCTGCCTACACATCTCCATATATTCTCCATTCCATCTCCCTGTGAGCCAGGTGCCATGGGGTGGTGCCCCACCAGAGAGCAGAGATGTCAGCTTCCTGACCTGAGCTGTGACCTGATGTCCATACATGTTTCATGCTCTGTTGCTTTCTGATCACCTAATAATATTCAATCTACTCTCTCCAACTATTTTGAGCTCTTTGAGAAAATACAATAGTGAAACTGAGGAATGGAGCTGCAAAGCCGCAGCCTCTTACCCTTTTGTTTCTTTTGTAGGGATCACGACCGTGTTGACGATGACAACCATCAACACACACCTTCGGGAGACATTGCCCAAAATCCCCTACGTCAAAGCCATTGACATGTACCTCATGGGCTGCTTTGTCTTTGTGTTTCTGGCCCTTCTGGAGTATGCCTTTGTCAACTACATTTTCTTTGGAAGAGGCCCTCAAAGGCAGAAGAAGCTTGCAGAAAAGACAGCCAAGGCAAAGAATGACCGTTCCAAGAGTGAAAGCAACCGGGTAGGCCCTCCACCAGCCTGACCACGCACCCATCATGCCTTTCACAGACCCACCCTGCTCCTACCACTTATCAGTCACTACAGTTACTTGCATGACCTTTAAGTAGTTGTGTGGGCTTTTGATTATAACCTGAAATGTTGCCTTCTGCAAGTCACTGAGTTTTATATAAAACCAAAATTAGTGCAGAAGCGGGAGAAACCACAAGCTTCCAGTTTCCTCTGAAAAGAACAGAACATGTGAATACCATGTGGGATGTTGGCTCTGAACTTGACAAGCAAAAGCATGTTTCCAAAATGTTGCAATATTCCTTTAGTGATAAAATTACAAATTTTATTGTCCAGCACGCCACTGTTCTTTTACAGTGTGGGCAGACCTGTCTCTCATCCACCCACTATCTGGCATAGTCCCCTAGTCCAAGGTCCTTAGTGCAAGGGAGGAACCGTGCTCTGTTCAAGGGCTCTCATAGATCTGCCCAGGCCCTGTCCCCTGCTGGGTGTGTTCACAAAAGTCAGAGCCTGGCATAGGCAGATAGCAGTAGCCAAGGATGGTGCATTGCTTTAGGAAGCCCTTGGGCTGTACACTAAGAAAGAGACCATAAATTAGGTCCACCCCCTCCAGCCCAGCTCAGCATCCTTACATCCTTCTGGTTACAAAGTAACTTTGCAATTACATGTCATTTCATTTTTATTTTAATAAAAATATGTCATTGCAATTATAAAGAATACTTTAATGAAAGTACATTATAATTTCTATGTAGTTTTTGTCTTTATCTTTTTACCTCTTGTACCCCATGAAGTTCTCAAAAATATATTTCTCCCTGTTTACATGCTACACTTGCTCCTACATTTCTTTATTATTTAATTCTTCTTGCTAAAGTTACTTATTTCTCAAGCCTGTGGTCTTTCCTTGCTTTTTCCCTTAGTACGTGTTCTTAGTACATGTTATGGGTCTGTTCCTTAGAGAAATGCAACAGCTCCTTAGAGTATTTGCTGTGTCCGTAGACCACTGATGGCCCAGAATAGGTTCACAAACATTCATGAATGAATGCAGGCAGTTAAATGAATGCAAATGGTTCCCATCCCTTCAGCAAAACATAAATAGAGTTGGTCAGAGAAACTCAGGATCTGTGAAAAAAATTAGGCTTCCATAGGCAAAATTATCCTGAACTTCTTACTGGAAAATATACTTAGTACCACACTGTTATGTTTCTAAATACGTCTACATCCTACTATGAATACACAATATGCTTTGGTCATGCTGTTTCCAAGGAAACTGGAATTCATCACATCATTACTGTTTTCATCACACAGATATACAGACACACATACACATACAATGCTGTTTTTCCAAATTCCCTCATAATTTAAACAGATCATAAATTTGTTTCCTTTCTCCTAAATGAGATGGTTTAGAACAGTCAGGTTGTGCTACAGAAATACCTTTTTGAGTGTGAAGCTTAAAATTTAAAGCAAAAACAGAAACACCTCTAACATGCACAAAGAAAAGTAGCAGAATATGAAAAATATTTTACATCAGATATTATACTATAAATCAGATGCAGAAGAAAATTTTATTTTATTCACAAGGCCATTTTATTGTTTTTCTGAAAATGTTTCTGTGTTTTCCCAGCAGTTTTGTTAAAGCCTTTATATGTTCATATTTTTAAAAATCTATAATTGTAGATCAGCTGTCAAGGTCTAAAGTTGATATACAAATTCATAGGTACTAGTTTTAAATGCATATTTGATATTCTTAAAGATAAGCATTAAAAATTATTGCTGACCCACATCTAAGACTTTATTTTTTTTAAAGATTTTATTTATTTATTGGAGAGAAAGAATGAGAGAGAGAGAGCACATGAGAGGGGGGAGGATCAGAGGGAGAAGCAGACTCCCTGCCGAGCAGGGAGCCCGATGCGGGACTCCATCCCGGGACTCCAGGATCATGACCTGAGCCGAAGGCAGTCGCTTAACCAACTGAGCCACTCAGGCGCCCCCCACATCTAAGACTTTAGTGATAATTTTCAGATGGAAATGAATTTCCCATAAAGCTTATATCATGTGATGTGGATGAGTTAAGGGAAAGCAAGAAAAGAATCACAAACTTCATGCAAAACAGAAATGTCACTATGCACCTGGCCAATACCTTCAAGAATTCTTTGTAATTATAATTATTCATTCATTCACTTTTAGTGATATCTTTCAAGATCGTTTGTTAGCGTGGCCATCAACAACCTCAGGGAAACCCATCTGTGTTATAGATGGGGCTCAGAGGGCTGCATCTGTCCTTAGACTGAAAGAGGACACTGGCCTGACCACAGGGATTTTCACTGCCATTGTTTTTCTGAGGTCACCTTTCCTGTCCAATAAGGGGATATCAGGGTGGTACCCTCAGGGGCTCTGCAGGCCACCAAGAGGGATCTGTGCCTTCAATGACTATCTTTGGGATGAAGGTGTTATTGACCTTACTATAAAACCTTAAGTAGATTTTCCTTATATTCAGTGGTTGCACATTATTTTAACATAGTGGTTGATGCATGAATGCTCAAACTGTTCACGTATTCACTTAGTTTCTCCTCAGACCAGTGGTGCAATGTAAATCATGCCCTTAATTTATTTGTGCATAACCTCTTTGGTTTCCTGAATTGTATCTATACTCAAGAGTTAGTCTTTGATTGTATTTAAATTTCATGAAGTGGCAGAAATTTGTAATTCCTTCCAAGGTATTAGAGCTGCAGACTTGACATCATTCCTCTTACTAAAGAGCAAGATTTCTTTCCTCACATGACAAATACCTTTTTTTTTTTACTTTTTCTAATAGAGTATTTTGCTTATATAGAAGCGTGAAGATAATTAGAGAATGAGTATTAATAAAGTGCCAGTCTGGTGAGAGATTCTAGAAAAAAATGAAAACCCCTTTGTGATATATTCTGCATGAGATGTTTTCCACCTTTGAATATTTGGCCTCTTAGGGTTATAGAGCAGGAAGAAAAACTATATTAAAATCATTGATTCTAATTATAGTAGATATGAGACAAACTTTTAAAAATATGAAGTATTCATGAAATGCTTTAATTTTGTTTTCATGAAATGCTTTAAAAAATGCAAGTCATCATCTATCATTCTATACAGGGCATTTCAGTCTTATGTTTTACCAACACCACTTCCATCTGTTTGAAGATTTAAATTTTAGATGATAGGAGAAGATTAGCGTCTTTTGGGGACATATTTGTTTAAAATGTTTGGTTTCTAAGACTTAACACATTTTAATAACTCTTTTAATTCTTTTAGAAAAAAAACTTCTTATAATGTTGGAAATTTTCTACACATTGCTTCACTTTTAAATGAAAACTATGTAAATGTAAAACTAAAAGTCAGAAGCATCCAAACTAATTTACACTAAGCTCTTATTATCCAATATATGTTCAAGTTACTTTCAACATTATTGTTTCCATTACAAGTGTTCACCCACTCTGAAATAGAAATCATGGGAAATAGGTGTTGGTTATTGAGACCTACCTCACAAGAGCTGTGTCCTGAAACAGCTGCAAGGTAGCCATAAATGTCCAAAGCACCCAAGAACCCTCTAATTCTGTAAATTATTGATGATATTGGGTTTGGTTTTCCTTAAGGTAGGTTTCCTTCACTAGAATCAAGGGCACAAAATTAGATCTCTGCCCTCATGAAGTCCTTTCCCAAATGCACAGCACTGGCCACAAGGAACTTGAGAAGACAGGATATCGATTCAAACAAATTTGTCATTAAATCTTGAAAAATCAACTCAACATTCAGTTGACCTCATTTCTTGTGTTTTCTCTGTTCTCCCTGTATATTTCCCAAAATCCCTGTGTACATTATCATCTTTTTGCCTTGGATTCTCTCTTTCCAGAATCCCTTTCTTCTTTGTCCACATCTTCCCCTCCTTCAAGACCTAAGCCAGATGCTCTTCTCCATGACATTGCCCAGGATTTTTTTTTTTCTTCTACTTGTGTCTGTCCTGCCTCTGTCACTCCCTTCTTCAAGAAATTGGTCTTGTCCCTGTTCTCCCAAATTCCATGGCACATGCTCTGCACTTGTGAAATGGCATGCTACATTTCACATGGCCACCATGCTTTCTCTGCTAAACAGCATTTGATTTTTCATATCAACCAAGATATGCACACCATGGCTCAGATGTGGTAAACGCTCATGGAATGTGTGTCCATGAATGAGTAGTAGTCATCATCAGAGCACCATTTTCTGCTGATGTGGTGTGTTTTTTCACTTTTCTAGTGGGAAGAGAGGGTAAGGTTCTTAAATCCATCTTTTTAAAGTCAGGTGAAGCTAAATCATTAGAACCATTGATATTGATCAGAATTAGCTTCTCACAAAATATTCCCCTCCCTTCCTATAAAAAAGACTTGTCTTCATTTGGTATTTAATTCTACAAAGTGGTTATTTATGATCTCCTAGATTTTATTAAAGGGAGCTTTTCATATGGCATTTTTTATAAAAAAGAGACAGTATTAATGGCATGTATTTAAAAATGTGCTTAAGGTTCATTATGCAGTATTTTTTTTTAAATGTGCTTGTTGATTACTTGAAACTCTTACCTGCTAGACCCCTTAAGAGTAAGGATCTTTTCTTATTCATCTATTAGGGTCTTTCACCTAGCACAGGGCATGGTACAGACCAGATATATAGTAGTTTTTTTTTTTTTTTTACATGAACAATCCCACAAGTCTGGACCCTTCGTGTGCAAGTCTCCAGTGAAGTATCCATGTTCCTAAGTGGACCACTGGGCTTTGTAACTCATGGTTATGTTATACTTAAAATATTACATAAAATGCAAAGAACATTTTTTAGAGTTAAGCGATGTTTTCTTTTTTTTCTACCTTTAGGAAAATAATTCCAGTCCTCTGAGGTTCTAATTAGCATATAGTAAATCATTTATTATTATGGGAAAGTATAAATGCCACATGAGGACTTAAAAAAAGCAAGCATCTTCCAACGTTGGTTATT